CAATTTACTATGAATTTATATGAGTGTCGATCACTCAAATTTCGTAGTAAAAAAATTATTCACCTGATCTGCGTAACGCAATATCGACCAATCAGATATGTCACGCATTTCACGTGACAGTAACTTTTTTACGGCGATCCTAGGTAAGATATTAGTCAAGACAATGTTCTGTAAAAAAAACTGGATAAAAAGCTTTTTTTGCAAGGTGTCGGTCTTTATAAATTACGTTACCTGATTGATCAATTTTATTGGTCACCACCAAGAATGATGTTTCTTGATATATGACAATATTTTTTTTCCTTTACAAAAAGAAAAAAATTAATGCAACACGAAATTAATCATCCCGATACGAGTTCGAACAAACAGACTTTGTGTCTTCTGCTACACTTCGGACAAATTTATGACCATGTATTCACATTTACCAGCACCACTGCAAAACAAATTTATCTTTGATGATAGAAGATCGAATGTACATAATCTTAGGGCTAACTTTATTCCTTGCTAGGGCTTAATCTATGTTATTAGATGGCGGGATTTCATTTATACCGCCGTCCACCACGCCCAACTGACTGTACTCCAATCAAACAATCAAGCATCTATATGGCTATAATGTCTCGTAGTTGCATTATTTCTGATACATTTTATAGTGATCCGTGAAAACTAGTTACTCGACAAATTTTGATTAAAAAAAAAAAAAAAAATTTAAAGACCACCTTTCAAAAGATCGAGAAATTTCTCCTTTGACATTGAAGATACTATAAATTTGTAAAATAATCAGCGACAAAACTGACAAAACCGAAAGACAACATAAGCTACAAATGATTGTACTTTACCATCTTTAGCTTCCTTTGTTGTTAATCTTTGTTTACCACCAGCTTCTTTTATTGAATTATCAACAATTTTTTGTGATATATGAATTGCATCGAATAATTGTACAACTATACATAGTTGGTCAAGACATATATACGTCTGAGAACAAAAATTTAAAATAATAACAATCGTAATAATCGTAATAATATGATGCATTTGTCATACCGCCTCTGGTTGCTATTTTTCTCAACTTTCTTTCAATGTCAATAGTAGTGAAATCCACTTTTATTCGATCTTTATTAGCCAGTCTTTTCTTTTCAATATTTATGGCCTTTCGTGCTCGATATTCTGATTTTGCATCGTCAATGCGTCGTTCGATACCTTTAGATCGGGATAAAATTGGTATCTACCAGAAAGCAAAACTTTGTTAACTTATTCATAATTATTTTTATGATTCGAGGTAAACTGTTACATTTTTGTCTGCCGGTTTAACGGAACTAGACAGGATTTTGTTGATGGATGCTGCAAAATCCGATGCCGAAGTTTTAGATGATTTTTTTCTTTCTAAAATTTCAAGTGGTTAAATTTAAATAGTAGAACAATTCCAAAGTCATTTAAAGAAATCTAAGACTCAACTTGAAACGTTCATTGGAGTTCACAAATTACGTTTATAAGCAGATAACGATAACAATAATTTATTGTCTACAAGTCATTGGCTCGATAATTTTCAATCTATATCATTGTAATTTGATTGGTCAAGTTTTATCACACTTTTTTTTTAATATGATCTCTTTATCGTTAAAAAAAAAACCAGATAAGCAAGTTTTTTTGAATTATAATACACTTTTATACATATTTGCACGAAATAAAGCCCGAGCGTTATTTGAGACATGCAATTTAAGGAGAGCTAATAATTAATTTAACCGAATGCGAACCATAATCTTGTTCTTAAAAATCTTTGGCGAAATTAATTGTGAGTTCTCTTTAAATTGTATGCCCCAAAATAACGTCCCAGGACATTATTTCGCGCAAATACAGTAAATAATATTTTCTAATAAATCTCGTACGTTCTAAAAAATGATATATCAAACATTATATAATTTACTATGATTACTAAAAATAATTCCTACTCTTAACGGCAAAACTTCAATCGTTAATTTAATTCTAAACTTTTTTGTATAATATATAGTTTTTAATACTTGTTTACTCTTAAAACAAAAAAAAACAAGATTCTTAAACAAAATTATAATATCTTTCTTATCTGATCAATAATATAGTTTAGGTTTTATGTTTGTCACTGACATTGAAAATCCTTTTTTATTATACTTTATGCCATAGACAGACAGGACAATGTAGCCTGCGTTTCAATTACCTATATAAAATTAAAATAAGTAGTAGTTAGGGAAGAAGAAAAAGAATGATAAGATACAAACCTCGA